GAGGGATCGAATGGATGTATAATCAATGGTCCAGCTACTACTCAACATTTGATAAGGATATTCTATGTGTCCAGATTGGGATAAATCTGACTGTATGCTTGAAGATGTTGGCGTACGATAGAGATTCCGGCTGGTCCGGACACATGTTAAGCTTCATTTCAAGTAATATTAAACAAAATAACATGGGAACATGTGTACGAAGTTTTGGAAGATTTCCAGACTATCTCAATAGGTATTGCATAGTTTAAACAGAGGATGTTTGTGTTGAGACACTGAGTGGAATAAGTTAATCTGTGTTCACGCACACACGCACGCACGCACGCACACACACACACACCTTAACACTCAGAAAATATCCCTGTCAAAGGTTGAGTAGTGGTCCGGGTCAAGCTGACACCCTTTGCTGTTACGGTGTCAACCAATTCACACATACAACCATCCGATCCGCATTAGTTTGCTCTTACAGTGAGTGAGTGAGTGAGTGAGTTTGGTTTAACGCCGCTTTTAACATTATTCCAGTTATATCACGGCGTGTCAGCTTAATGTGGAAGGAAAGCCCGAAGTGATGCAGGTCTCGGACGTTTACCACTTCGGTGAAACCCACGAGCACGGGTATGGTGCTGACAAACCTAGAAACATAATCAGGGCGAACCGGGATTCGAACCCACGATCATAGGTTTCTGGCGTGCCCAAGGGACGCAACTCTGCACAGCGAATCGCGGCGCCTTAGACGACTGGGCCACCCGTGCCCCCGTTTGCTCTTACAACAGCCATTGGGAAGGAGCATCTATTGTGCCCTATATCAAGACTAAATTAGACACAGAACACATGTTTACCTCGGAGAACCTAGCGATTGAGTAAAACCAAACCGCGAACGCCATAACCTGACCAATCTCCACAAGGGCCCCAATGGCTTCGTGCAGGACTGCGATCAGTGAGTGGTTTGGGTTTAACTCCGTTTTAAACAATAATTATCAGCTATTAGTAAACGCAGGTCGCCGACATTGACCTTGCCTTGCTTCAAGGCTGTAATGAATGATAAATCCATGGGTGTAGAGTAATTCTATCCTTATAACAGGCAAGTCTACATAAGCGGACAGTACATCTAAGGACGCCAGTCTGTAAAAGGGACAACTTGAGTAATTTCATTATTTACATATTCCAGAAATTATGATTTATATGTTAATAATTATTGCATTAGAGACTTTTGCAAGTCTAACTTGACCCCATTGGTGAAATTCGCGTGAAGGGTTTTGTGTAGACACAACTTCAAAGATAATTATGAAGCGAATTTGGGATTCGAACCCCTGATAATCAGACCCTGGACGCAACCCTTCACGGCTAATCGCGACGCCTTAGAGTCAGACAACTGGGCCATCCATGCCCCAAAGAATTTAAAGCCGCTACCTTCTATACAGCCCTGATGACGATACAGTCAAACGCAAGACAATCAAGTTCCTCCTAATTCCGTCGCTCATACGTCAAGAGGTGATATAAGTCCGTCGACTTTCATCCTGTATACAGCGAATATTATCATTATTGGTCTCGGTAATTACTGGGGTAATATCGCATATTAAACCCACGAGGCAGGGCATAAAGCACGAGCTTCACGAGCAAACGCACCTGTCACGTGGAACATCAAAAAGCTCCGGTGCCCGTGAGCTGTGGCGAGAAGGAAAAGAGATCCATATAGATGTCGATCTGAACTCTAAGTACCACAGTGAGATAAAGGGTCTGTCGCCATGTACGCGGATATCTGCATATAGTCTATACATACACACATACCTACATAAATACTCCGTGTTATCGAGAGTAGTAAATAAATCGTATTATGTTCGGCCAGTGAGTGCAGGCTGGTATTCAGAGGGATGTGATGGTGTCAGTATTTTTGGTGCAGTCGAGATATGAATGGATGTCGTCGGTTTGGCAGCCTGGAGATAAGACCTACACCTTGAATATATGCGCGTTAACAATATGCCTTACAAGGGTATCACGGAGTTTAAATTGGCTCCCAAAATGAAAACATCACAGATGTCAATGTATCCTCCTTTCTGTAGGGTGGGCGATGCTGTATTGAAGGACGTGTTGGATATACAGTCAAGTCCCGTTAATCCGACATGGTTGGGTTGAACGTGATTCTGTCGGATTAACGAAATTAAGTAGTATCAACGTTTGTGATCGAAAATCGGACAACTACATGATAGATAACGACACAAACACGTAATAAAAAAATGAAAATGTAATATTCATTTTGTTATGTTACATGTAGATGTATAGATATAGGCTGATGTTTTACTTTGAATTTAAATAGAAATCATCAAATTAAGTTTGATTTTTTTTCAAACATTCAGTCAACAATAGTCTCCCGCATAATGGACAAAGCAAATCGAAACAATCATCGTTGAAATACATGGATGATTAAAAGATGCGAAATCCTTAGCTCCAAATTTGTTTCTCCATTTTCATTCAAGTTGCATAATTGCTCAGAACATTGAATCGTTTTATTAGTCATAACATACACCAGCTACCTCTGTCCAAAGAACAGATCGTTAACGCGTGCGTTCTTCCAAGTGTTATGGGGCGGTTTAACAGAACTAAAATTAACTTATTAGTTTAATCACCCATGGATGGATAACAGTTTTGTTTATGAGAAACGAGAAATGCTGTGATATGTAGAATGCAAGTTTAACTCCGCACACACAAATATTTCAGCTACATGACAGCGGTCCAGCGGTCTTTAAATATTCAAGTCTGGAACGGCAATCCAGTGATTGACATCATGGTCATCGATCAACGCAACAGGGATACGATGACATGCATCAACCAAGTCACCCAACCTGACCACCCGATCCAACGAACGCTTTGTAGAACGGGCCCTGGGTGCCGTTGTACAAAACAACCTTAGCGCTACGACCGTCGTAAGTCTATGTTAAGGTATGGGAGTTACAATCACCTCAGCGCTAAGATCGCTTTGTAGAACGGGCCCTGGTACAGATTCCGGATAGCATCTTCATCAATTGTGTCTGTAATACTTCTGACTGATTGCAAGATTTGCAACTAATACAAAACCGCAAAACATGTAAAGCATCTGCGACAACCAAATGCTATCTTTTAATACTGATAATCCTTGTACTGCTGCGCAAACCGATCCCGTTGGTCGCCTCTTACAAGCATGGCTTGCTGAAGATCAATTCCAACTCTAATCTTCACGGGTCAGAATGCAAGGCTAACAACGTCACAGAGTCGTCCACTTGACATGTTTGTTTGTTTGTTTGTTGTTTAACGCCGCACACAACAAGATTCCAGCAAAATGACGGCGGTCTGTAAATAATCGAGTCTGGACCTGCCAATCCAGTGATTCACATCATGAGTACCGATCTATGCAATTGGGATACGATGACATAAATCAACCAAATCAACGAGCCTGACCACCCAATTCCGGTTGTCGCCTTTTACAAGCAAAGCCTTTCAGGGCAAGCTTGGGTTGCTTGCTTGCTTGCTTGCGTGCGCACGTGAGTGAGTGAGTGAGTGAGTTTTTACGCCGCTTTTAGCAATATTCCAGCAATACCACGGCGGGGGACACCAGAAATGGGCTTCACACGTTGTACCCATTTAGGGAATCGAACCCGGGTCTTCGGCGTGACGAGCGAACGCTTTCACAACTATGCTACCCGACAGCCCCTCCAGTATAAGAAATGTTATGTTTATGCGGTTGCGATTTCTATAACGGACGAACATTATAGCACGACTGCTTAATATATTTCTTAATCGTTTGCTTAACGTGACACTATAACATTGGCGAGAAATCGTTCTATCAAATAATGGTTGCTTAAAGCGAATATATTGAGTCTCTGCATTAACCATTTTCAAAGATGTTAAGTATTAAAGATATTATTAAATTTGTATGTTCTATTTTTGTCTGAATACGTCGCAAAATGTAATAAAAAGAGAAACTAAGTAAGTATCTGACACATCAATGTACGTTTTGCTAACTTTGTCATATCTAATAATATCAACGACGTAATTCATTCAATTTGCCCACAACGCAGATTGTAACACCTTTTGAGAAGGGCGGTTGCGTTCAGCGGTAGAGTGCCCGCCTTGAACTTCTCGGTCCAACCTGAGCATTGAATGTGGTAGCGATTTCATCGGTATGGGTGTGTGAAGGTTTATCAATGCAACAAAACAAACACACTGTTTGTAGGAAAACACGAACAGACATTCAAACTGTGATACACGCAAACAAAATCCACACATTTAAGAATCAATTAACGTAGGCATATATTGATTGTAGGAGCTACCGAATTATTGTCTGTGTGGAGATTTGTAACTTGACCATGTTATAAGTGTGGAGAACTCTTCGGATGACTACTGACCACAGAATGCGTTTTCTTTTTGTCTAAAACATAAAAATGAAACTTTATCAACCAGCCCCGAAATATCACTGCCATCAACGTACAGCCGCAGCTCTTCGCCAGAATGTCAAGGAGGATTCTATATGAAACAAAGGATGTTCCACAGAGAAGTTAAATACTTAAATACTTTTTTACGCAGAATACATTATACCAAGCAGAGACAGTATCTCAAGATATACTGTCCATGATCTATGGTGTAAGGTTCGTGGCGACTCGGGGCTGTTTCACGGAGAGTTAAGCCCAATATGATACAATGACATTGTATGTGTAAATCATTCACGGGACACATGATAATAGAATTGTCAAGAGTTGATTAATGGACATAACTAGCTAATTCAGGTATGTGGTATTCGCGTTGTCGCGACTTGTGCAAGGGGTGTTCTGTGGTCCCGGAGTGGTGCCTAGCAGTGCTGGTGTGTTCCTGTGGAGTGTTGAAGTCCCTGTTCAGTGAAACAGGGTCTCCCCACCTGCCTCAATTGACTCTCTCTCTCACTGGCTCACTGCGGGCAGAGAGCAGGGATAATGTTGGCCAACTATCCAGGTCACGCAAGCTGAAGGGCTGACTGACAGACAGCTTTTCTGCTACCTCCATTCAGGTGTGTGCTGGGCCGCGCTGAGCGCTCGCCCTCTTCTCTCGGGTCTCAGGGACGTTCTGTACCTTTCTCTCAACCTGCAGTCCCCTTACCCCCCTCGGCAGCACAGCCTGGGTCGTGAGGCAGCCAGTACCCGGATGACTTGTAGATTTCACACCGGAAATGAACTCCTTACCACACGAGATCGAGCGAGCCCGCTACTCGGCCGACATACGGAGTTTGGCGAGTGTTTGTTTTCAAGATAAGCGCTGTAGTGCAGCGGTTACTCGTGATGTCGCACCGTTGTAAAATGCTCATTTCTCTAAGTCGCCGACTATCGGAACATAGGGAGGCCAACTGACACAGGGAGAAGACGTGGAATTACTAACTCAATGTGGGAGTGAGCTAGGCATGCGACGTCAGGCCTACGGGATCGGTGTCGGGACGTCTAGCAGACTCCTGCTGTGTCTGATTGTGGTGGTCACTCTCTTGTGCACCCCGGGACCCACTAGGGCCATCAACTGTAGGATATGTCACCCAGACCTGTGCCCGCCCGTCCCTCGGGACCAGTGCCACGCGGGGGTCGTTACTGATATTTGCGGGTGCTGCCAGGAGTGTGCTCGGGCCCTCAACGAAACTTGTGGGGGCAAGTATGGTATTTTCGGCAAATGTGGCCCCGGACTAAAGTGTTTTATATCCCCCGCTGTGGGCCAGGCTATATCAGGACAGGAGGATGGTATTTGTAGAGGTAGGTGATACGACGGTATACATACCTAACAGTATATTACCCAACAGGCCATTGCACTGTATAACATAATGTAAAACTTTTCTACACTTGTTGCGTGAGTTGGCCTGTATTGGCAGAGAATCAATACAACTACACCTACAATAAAGTTTGAATTGCCGTGTTCTGTTGAGGCGACAGCTTATGTAATGCAATACTCGGGTGACATACAGACAGGTCCGTCCACATTGCTTGGAATGTTTGACCCACAGCTGTCGCCACCAATAACCCTGTTTGTCAATTTGGGTCTATCCATATGAAATAGTTTGCATATTTCATCAACGACCCTAATTCTGTTCGATTTCATTGACTTGTTGTGAGTGTTCAGCATTTATACGGCATTGATAAGCACGGTAAACAGGTCCTGTAGCGTGTTTCAATGAGGGGTATATCTGTGTTGATAGCGTCGGCACGATACACTGCAACCTCCCACACAGCGATCTATACAAGACGGTGTTATAAGGCGAGCACGATCTAGTGCGAAGACAAAGATATTCGATGTCGTATTTATCACAGTCCACACCTGAGGTGTGCATAGCACCTGGTCAGGCTAAAACATCGTCTCGCTTATATACAGTCAGATGTAAACAATAATAAACACACGGGGGTCGAGGATGGGGGGTGGCAACAAAAATAAACGGAGATGGGGTAGTGTTTAGCGGTCTGGTGTTGCATTAGGGGATGGTTGGTCACCTGAACGGTAGACCCCTTGCATATCAAACACGAATATGAGAGAAAACGGTGGAGATATGCAACTGAAAGGGTATGCAAGTAGTATGGCGCTTTGAACGTACATGATCTGGTGGCTCGACGCTGCTGTTTAGTTAGATATTGTCGGATTAGGTCTCGTGGGATGGTGAGAAACGAGGGAGGGGTTTCTTCGTTATTTGAAGGGAGGCATGGGGAAAAACCGACGTCGTATGTTCGCCACAAGGGTAGACCTCAACAGTGGCATGCCTTGGCGCATGGCCAGGTTCTTACGCGCGATGTCATTCAAACGTTTGGTGGAGAGCCATGCAGTTTTTTTTAAATAAACGTAGTGTTGTAGACGCAAGGTTGATGCAGCCGGTTGACTTGACTTGACTCTTTTAATTTCCGACCTGCCACTGTCGATGTGATGGTCACTGATGCGAGGAAAGGAGACATGACAGGACATTTCGTCTCGTCGTGTCAAAAACATCTCGGAAATTGATAATATGAAGGCATACGCTTGCCATCTGCCTCAGGAATCTCGACAGTGTGCGAGTAATTTAGCAAAGACAAAGGTGTTCCCATTGAATCTAACCAGGTGTGTCGAGCTTCCGTAGTGAATTTCCTGTGAAGATCGTTATTTATTTATTAGCCAGGCGATGTCTGATTGCCAGTGTGTGCATGTGGACTTGTTGCAAACAAGTGATCTGATATAGTCAACGGCGTCATTAATTTATCATAGGGCAGGAAAATTTGAAACCGACTCATAATATAACGGTCAGGGATCGTATATCTCAATTGTCTTGTTACTATGCGTGGAATGTGAAATAATTCAAATAGTTTCATATTTATGTTACATCACGTTTTGAATATCAGCACACGGAATGTCAGCGACGCTTTAATGTTGGATCTGCCCTTTGTGACATTTATTACTTGAATATGTAAATTTTAGTTCATAGTTTAAAAAAATGTTAGATTAAAGGAACATAAAGTTCGAGTTAACCCAGACGTTAGCCAAATATTAAAGGGCCGTAAACAAGGACGTCAAACCATTTTCAAAGGATGTTCTTGTACGAATGTCGTCATTAAGATTATTGATATTCGAAGGGAACGTTGACATCTACATAAGTGTCCATGAAATGCACGCGTGAAGCGGTTGCGCGAGAGTGAGTTTTCAGCGTGAGGGGGGAGAGTAGGAAGCGAGCGACCCACAGATGGAGGGATGGGGGTGGGGGAAGATTTGCATGGGATACCACCCAGGGACGGTCGGTTTTCTTATTGTCTTGAGTCGACAATGTCTTCATTTAGCGATTAGGGCACAATGAGGCCATCTTCTGGTGATTGATCACAAGTCTGGTGTGTTTGCTTCACCACGTATTACAGCAGAACTCGCCAGCCGTGGGGAGATCACAAGGCGGTTTCCTATTCTAACAGTGCCTTGTTAGGGCTTTTGTCGCGTCCCTGCTCAGCAAGACTCCCTCGACCGTGATTTAGTTCGTTTGTTCTTGGTTCCCTCATTTGAATATTATCATTACCATTTGCGACAGATAGAGACATTAGAAACTACAAACTCCGTTCATGGACAGTCCGATCACCGTTTCTCGTTATCTGGCGATTAACGGAGGACCATCAATCAAGGAGCCAGTCAACGTAAATTTGTCGCGTCTGTGATTTTTTTTTACATTCTTGCCTTGTGGGTGCTGATTGACATTTGGCTATTCACAATAGTAAATACGATAGCAGCAGCGAGACATTAAGAAACACTCTTATGGAATATTTCAGAAGTTCGGCATGCCTGTTATGCAATCGCCCAATGTGAGGTCGTGTTTCGCCTGTGTGTTTTACGGCCTCTCTACATGGATATGGCTTATATCACGCATCAACTCACAAAGTGTCCGTGTTTTTGCAATTTTACGGAGCCCAGACCATATATAGTAGTTTTAATGTATCCTTAAACGAACTGGCGGTACAGCTCACACACAATAAATGTCATGTCTATAAAACATATTTTGTTAGCATTATGCTGATTGATAAATAAATACGCGTGGTTTTCAAATGGAAATGACATGTTTGTAGTGAAGCAATTCCAACCTTTTTCGTATTGAAATGGCACTTTTCTTCTTTTATCCGTTTGACATGAATGAGGCGGCTGTGACACATCCAGGGATCGCTAAAATCCTAGCCCCTTTAAGGCCAGCTGGAGGCTTGGAACATCCCTGATTTGCCCGCGTCCTATCGGTTCAAACCGATTAAAAACTTTCTGATATGATATTGCGTAGTCTCTTGGCTTGAAACGGTAGAAAAAGGCTTGATATGGACAGAAAAGTACTAAGCTTTTTTGACACAAAGGGTTCGACTCTGTCTGCTATCTGTCATTATGTCGTTAATGTGTCACAGAGTTCCGTATGCTATCCTATCAGTAATACACACACAAGGCTTGATTGACAGTTCCAGCAATAGACTCGTTTCAGGGGAGTTTATTGCAGTTTGCGTACTTGGTTTTCAAGACGCGTGTGTAGGAATATAGTATATGATAGTTTTATGTTTCTTGGTAATAAATGCGTTTTCTTTGACATAAACTACCCCCTTTTAATTGTAGTTTAATATTTTTTTCTCATTTATGTCAATGGCTGATGTTGCTGAGAGACCTGTTATTATTGTTATCACACTGTAAAGGTGTCAATTTTCTACAGGAATTGGTTGCGAAATTCAGCAACCTCCACAGTATAGTATTGAATGCATGTTGACACAGAAATGTTCAAACATTCGGATACTATGATTTGTTTGTTTGGGAAGATGGAATACTATGAGATATGGTTTATTAAAGTAATCAGACGCCAAGGTGAACTATTGAATGTTTTTCACCCTCTGAGCACATTATTGAGTAGATGTTTGAGACGAATGTACTGACAGAAATTCGTTGGATATTTTGATGAAGCTTTAGGACGAGTTAGGGGCTGGTATGTGCTGTTTGTACCATCTCTTTCAGTCATTCTGTTAGCTCATTCTTATTTTTCAAAGAGCTGATACACCCGGTGAGATGGGCTTGTTTTCTCTATCAAGTGGTATTTTCTATTCAATCATTTTCAATAGCATCTTCTTTCAGAGCAAAAGTAAACTTATGTACATAAAAATGTGGTGAACATATGTGTTGGCGGGACCTGTTTGTGGAGGCATTCAGTGAAAATTGATGTATTAGTGTGACATTGTTATCTGATGCTTTACACAGGTGTGTATGTTGTGAAATCAGCTGTGTCTGGTATCTTCACCTGCTAATTACAACAGGTGTAAACACAGGTAGCTACTTGTGCACCCTGGGTAGCAGTGGAGGTTGATGGGGAGGTGACTGGGTTAGAATTGTGCAGATATTTGCTTAGCTTCTGAACAGCCTCTGTCTGTCAGGACCTCCTTCAAGCAAGACCTACTTGATGGATTTCATGTGATGATGGATTGGGTAATATCATCATCAAAATTGGCTTTAAGGATAAACTGTGGTATGTGCAGTATTTCACTTTGCCCCTTTTCCGAATTGAATCCTTATTACCTCATTGTGGGTCGGCTGGTGGTTGAAGGCTCTTGGGGGACCACTGGGAACTGGTGATCAAATATTTAAGTTTGAGAGAGCTCTGGTTTGGATGGGAACTTGGTGATTTATGTGAGAAATACATTCAGGAGAGAGGGGAAAGCTGTTTGCCTGTGCTGTAGATGTCTGAAGAGGGACGTAACTAGTCAATAAACCTGCAGGTGGTACCTAACAGCCACAACACATGGCGATGATCCTACCTAAATTGTGATGTTTTTGTGTTGGTGTTGTAGACTTTCTTGGTGTTGGTGTCATACACTGCCTTAGTGTTGGTGTCATACACTGCCTTAGTGTTGGTGTCATGGGTGCTGGTGTCATACACTGCCTTAGTGTTGGTGTCATACACTGCCTTAGTTTTGGTGTCATACACTGCCTTAGTGTTGGTGTCATACACTGCCTTAGTGCTGGTGTCATACACTGCCTTAGTGTTGGTGTCATACACTGCCTTAGTGTTGGTGTCATACACTGCCTTAGTGTTGGTGTCATACACGGCCTTCGTGCTGGTGTCATACACTGCCTTCGTGCTGGTGTCATACACTGCCTTAGTGTTGGTGTCATACACTGCCTTAGTGTTGGTGTCATACACTGCCTTAGTGTTGGTGTCATGGGTGCTGGTGTCATACACTGCCTTAGTGTTGGTGTCATACACTGCCATAGTGTTGGTGTCATACACTGCCTTAGTGTTGGTGTC